CTTACCGGCTCCGATGGTCCCATTGGCCAGGTATATGTAGTACTGCGTGGTGGTGGAGATGTTCCACGCCACAAAGGAGCAGCTGATGACTCCTCCAATGTAGGATCCCACCACAGTGTTGATGTTGTCCTGCATGAGCGAGAGAGAGAGACAGCATCTCTCTCAGCACTGACATCATGACCATAGCTCGCTTATGAGGATCTTCCCCCCCACCTGTAGGCCACCAACCCCTCACTGGCGAAAGTGGGAGCTCTTAGGTTTGGGGTTATGGGGTGGGGCTGGGGGGGCAGTTCTGGTGAAGAGGAGCAGTATCGGGGATCTGTGCTGAGCTGTAAGGCTGCTTTAGGAGCCTAAGAAACTTCTGTACATCCCATGATGCTGGGGATCACACCACCCTCTCCCCTCCCCCCTGCACCCAGATGTGGATAATTACCGTGGGCAGCAGATTCATGCTGCTTCCTGTGAAGTTGGCTCTTGAGACATAGACGTTGGTGCCGTTCAGAGCACAGATATAGACCTCACTGTTTACCTGAGGAGACACAGAAAGCACACACACTGCTCAGACCACATCAATTCCTCTTTCCTTCTCTGCTGCTTATAACCAACAGCTATGTCACCCTACAACCCACTGAAGCAGGTGTGACTCTGGCCAGTACCTGGATGGGAGACTCCTGGGAAAGTGAGAGTGGTGTTTGTTGGACCAGAAGGGGGCGGTCACCCTGCGGTCTGTGTGGGTCCTAATGCCCCAATATAGCTATGGGGACACTATACTGTAAAAAAGTCACCGTCCTTCAGAGGTCCTGACTGATTTTTAATGTGGTCATTAAAAATCCCAGGGCATTTCTTGAAAACAGTAAGGGTGTTACCCTGGTGTCCTGGCCAAATTTAACCCTGGTCTTTACCAATCATTGCCTCCTGATAATCATCCAGGTGGGGCTGCACACTGGTGGTGGAGGAGGAGAGGAGTCAGGGTGTTGTTATTTGCTATTATTGTGTGTTTATTACTGATGGATTCTCTGATATCTCCTTTCTCTCACTGTGTCTCCTGTCCTGTTGTGTGTGTTTATTACTGAGGGATTCTCTGTTACCTCCTCTCTCTCACTGTGTCTCCTGTCCTGCTGTGTGTTTATCACTGATGGATTCTGTTACCTCCTCTCTCTCACTGTGTCTCCTGTCCTGTTGTGTGTGTTAATTACTGAGGGATTCTCTGTGATCTCCTCTTTCTCAGTCCTAGTGGGTACCTTACCGTTCCATTGTCAAGAGAGAGTCCAAAGCTGATGTACCCCACAGACTGCCCGCTGATCTCGAACTGGAGCCCCTGATCACGTGTTTCCACCAGACGGGAGGACATGAAGAAGCACCCCGAGGTGACGCCGGGGGTGCAGTTTGTGGGACTGCTCTGGCAGGCTTTCTGTGTACTGCAGCCCACCTTGGAAATCGTCAGCTGCCCCAGGGGAGAAAACATTACATTAGAACAGCCCCCCACTGTACTTGGGCACAAACCGGCATGAACTCGGGGCCCTCGGGGCCCTCGGGGCTCTCGGGGCCCTCGGAGCCCTCAGCCAAGAAGAGCATCTTTGGCTGCAGATTGTCTTTACAAATGGAGGGTAAGATGTGACCTGCATCTCACTTGAGAGCACCGGCGTGCCCTGATTCTCAGTCCATGTCAGATTGACAGTCTGCTGAAGCTCAGCAGGTGTGAGCCTGGTCAGTACCTGGATGGGAGACTGCTGCAAGGGTGCTGCTGGAAGAGGTGTTAGTGGGGCCAGTAGGGGGCGCTCA